CTTTCTCACGAAAAGTGCCTTTTCGTTTACTCGTAAATGGAAAGTAAACGAAAAGTCTTTTTTGACACTGCTGCTACGTTCATCTCGTTTCGGAAAGTACCTTTTCATTTATTCGTAAGCGAAAAGTAAACGAAAAAGGCGCAGTTCGACCACTCGCTGAACGCAACATCACTGTCAAAAAATATTGTTCGAATACATGTGAGACGGGAATTATTAGCCCGTGTAATTGGCAGTCCTCGACTTCGTCGCGGGCCGCCACCTTCACACTGGAGAAAATTCCACTCGTATCGAATTATGCTAATTCAGGGCGAGTGCTATGGGGTTTTTTACTCACTTGGAGTTGACGTCCAAGCTGAAGGCGAGTACTGGCCAACCACGTGAGTAAAAAAAAACCATGGCACTAGTTGTGAACGATTTTTTTCTGTAGTGATTTTCACTTTTACGAGTTTGGGAAAGGGCCAATTCCAGTCCCCGGACGAGGAAAAGTGATGATCAATATGGAAGTTTGTGGTTTCCAGTAACAGTTTCTGGATGTTAGTATTCCGTAGTTCTGAAATCTAGAGACAGAAAATACTTGATTTTATTGAAATTTCCCTGCGAATCAGAGGAAAAGCTCCGGTTCTCAGTAATTTCAATTAAAATCCAGTACTTGTAAAACTTAAATCTAGAACACTGGGGTTTTTAAGATAAAAACTTTACGGTTCTTAAATTGACGCCATTATCTCCTCAAATTATCTTCATTAACTATGGTGTGACTCCAAAATTTCCAGAAAACAATATCTCACACATAAAAAAAAATTTCCATCTAGAAACTTTGTATTTATCCGAAAAATGAGGGCAATTGGTCCATAAAAAGGAGAACACAGAAAAATCTAAACGTAAATTATGTTTATCAAAACGTAATTTACGCTTGACGTCAATATGATATCTGGTGGCTTGTTTTCCGTCATAAAAATCGTAATTTAGGCTTCAAAAAAGTGTATTTTACAGTCAAAATCAAAACGTAAATTATGCCTAAACAAAGCGTATTTTACGTTTATCAAAACGTAGATTACGCCTAAATGAAGCGTATTTTACGTTTATCAAAACGTAGATTACGCCTAAATGAAGCGTATTTTAGTTTATCAAAACGTCAATTACACTTAAAGCGTATTTTACGGTTATCAAAACGTAAATTACGCCTAAACAAAGCGTATTTTACGTTTAGCAAAACGTAAAGTATACCTACACTGGTAAAAAAAATGAAATTTTATGGACAGTTAGCTAGCAATTTTCAGGAAGATTTAGGGGGAAAAAATCAAGAAATTTCAGGTTTCACTGGTAATTCAGTAAAATTCCAGAATGTTAAGTGTCCTAAAGACGAGAAATCCTTAATTTATTTTAATATCCAATCTAATAAGAATATTCAGTGTTAAAGGGAGACTAATATGAGTTTTAAAAGTCGCGGGCTATTGGAATGAGATTTTTCATATATGGAAGATCGATTATACATGTCTAAAAACGAATAATTAGTGCAAAAAAACTACTTGTTTATTGTTCGTTTACTCTGCGAACGCTTAAAATGTTGAATACAGTCCAGGGCTTCCAATGTTTAAGCTACAGAGGTTTTGTTTTTTTCTTCAAAAATTTTGAAACAATCTCCGATTTTTGAGCTCCTCTGTGGCTCAAAAATCGGAACCCCTGAAGTATTTTCAACATTTTAAGCATCTGCGGGGCAAACACACAAAAATCGATTAATTTTTTTCCTCTAATTATTCGTTTTTAGACATGTATAATCGATCTTCAATGCATGAGAAATCCCACGACTTTTAAAACTCATAGTTGTCTCCCCTTAAATTGCATTGAATTTCCAGTGAAATTTGAAATTTCATGGTTTTTGTCCCTCTAAATCGAATTCAGTGTCGCTATCCTAAAAATTCAAGAATATATTTACCACAATTTTCTGTTTTTTTATTCATTTTCAGGGAAAAATGGAATGGGAATTTACAGTTCTGTTTTATTTTTCTACGAGATTCTGAATTTTCAATGGCGAGATTTCCGGAAATTTCAGTGGAATTGGAACACGATAAAAATTTCCGGAATTTGGCATGGAAAATTCAGACAAAAATTTTTAACAGTGTAAAAAAAGCGTCTTTTACGTTTAGCAAAATATAAATTACGTTTATCAAAACGTAAATTACGTTTATCAAAAATACGAAAAAATCATGGTAATTTACGGCAACTTTGAGCGTAATTTATGAATACGAGATCGTAAATTACGTCTATGTAATCGTACTTTACGATGATTTCAAGCGTACTTTACGATTACAAAATCGTAAATTACGTTTAGTTGATCGTAATTCGCAGCGGTTTTGAGCGTAATTTACGCTTCAACTTCAAGCGTAAAATACGTTTTTGAAAGCGTAAAATACGACTTCCCGAGTGGAAATTCTGTTCAGGTCTTGATCAGAAACGGATCAAGTCCGATCCGAAATTCTGATCAGGCGTGTTACGCCTCTGCCTTAGGTTTTTCCACTAGGGTTTCTCCGCCTTCCATCATTAGGCATTAATTAAAATTTAATTTTTTGAGAGAAAAAATTAGTAACTTCCTAGCCGGGAATCGAACCGGGGGCCTCCCAATGTCGCGTCGGGTGCTCTTACCATCTGAGCTACCAGGACACTTACGAATTTCACTCTCAAATTGACTCATACCCGAGTGGAAATTCTATTCAAGTCGTGATCAGAAACTGATCAAGTCCGATCCGAAATTCTGATCAGGCGTGTTACGCCTCTGCCTTAGGTTTTTCCACTAGGGTTTCTCCGCCTTCCATCATTAGGCATTAATAAAATTTAATTTTTTGAGAGAAAAAATTAGTAACTTCCTAGCCGGGAATCGAACCCGGGGCCTCCCAATGTCGCGTCGGGTGCTCTTACCATCTGAGCTACCAGGACACTTACGAATTTCACTCTCAAATTGACTCATACCCGAGTGGAAATTTTGTTTAGGTCTTGATCAGAGACTGATCAAGCCCGATCCGAAATTCTGATCAGGCGTGTTACGCCTCTGCCTTAGGTTTTTCCACTCGGGTTCTTAAACGTAATTCCCGTTTCGGTTTTTCTGTATGAAGGGACTTATCTCAAACCAAGTCAAGTGGTTTTCGCATTAAAATATTTTGTATTTAAGACCAGCAAGTTATTGAAGAATTGACGGCTAGTGGTCGCGGTCGTTAAATCGCATAGTTCGGCTTGACGACTAGGCGGTCACAGTTCGAAATTCGAGCACGGGTGGAATTCCAGCCCGGGTGGAATTTTCAACTTCTCTGTGCAGAGGTTGGAGGTTCAAGTAGGTGGCTGGGCTTCGGATCTCGGCTGGGAAAAGACCCTTAACTTTTACAAGGGGTTAAGGACTAATCGATAAATAGATTTGGTCCGAGGCTAGAGTCTATTCGATCTCACCAAATGTTCATTCGTTAATATTTAACAAATGCATATTTGATGAGCCTTGTTTGACTCGACTTCCACCTGTTAAGTGAACCATTCTACCACTGTGTCAAGCGTTGGACTGCATCGACTCCAGGCGAGCCGAAGGTTGTTAGTAGAGTAACCGACTATACTGGCGCAGTTTTTCTGTTATTTCCAGCGTCTTCTTCGTTTGCGAGGGGGTAAGTACGGTGCAGTACACAAAGTCGCCCACAGCCACACGGTTAGGCAGGACGAAAATGGCTGAATAAACCGGTAACGGCTTTCCAGCCTAAATAAAATAAAAAGGTATTGAGTAAATTAACTAATAACTCGGTTTGAGGAATTACTTTTGTGTCATAAATAAACGTCTCAGTCTTTAGGCAGGTATGAAATCACTTGACGAAAATTTGTTTCTTCTCAATCCCAGGTAGGAAATGCCAGTGTTGGAAAAACGGCGCAAGTGTGGCACAGGCCTCGGCTTGCCAAGTCTGGGCGCTCAAGCTTGGACCGAGGTTCAGCCATCCCTGTGGACTAGAGCGTGACCATCAGGGGAAAGGTGGGTAACCGAGTCTTGGTTGACAGATCTGGCCAAGCCTTGGCCGAACATTGGCATGCCGGAGCTCGATAACTAAGCCCCAGCCAGCGGTGGCCCAAAATTTGGTCATTGAGCTCCAGCCGTTACTGCAATTGTAAGGATCAAGTCGGAAGGGTGAGATGATGAGAATGGAATCATAGGGGTGGAATCAGAATCAGGGTAAAATTTTAAGGGTGTAATCGTAAAAATAAAATGATGGCATTGTAGGTAATGAAGGCACACGTTATCCGATAATTATCACGAAAAAAGAAGAATCGTCATTCAAAATTCATCATCATTGCTATAACTATTATTATAATTAATAGTTATTGGTTTTGTTATTCATTATTGAATTAATTTACCGATAAACTATAGTTGAATCACTTAATATCTCTACCAACTGAATAAAACGTTCAAGTCGAAAAAAACCGAGGTGGATTTAATATGGACGATTTGAAGTAGAGATTTTACGAATTGCGTGGTAGGCTAGTGATTAATGCGTCGGGTTAGTAGTCGTGAGGTCGTGGGTTCGAGCCCACGTTAGGGTAATACTTTAAGTTAACAAAATGGATTTTTCAGCGATAATTGCGTTACGGTTTGCGTGAGGAATGCGCCCCTAAATTCGGCAGCCCGACCGCGGGGCTTGGACCGGGCTGGGCCCGTTCGTTTTTTCCTACCTGGTATGTAAGATATTTTGCTCTTGAAAATTTTCGAGCCATGAGTTTCGTGAATATATATTGTCAAATAAATGAAAGATATGAATGCAGTTACGAACATCATATTTGCTGTTGAAGAATTTAAAGTTTGACACACACGAAGGTCATAGAAAATTTTTAAAAAGCATTCGTCCCATGAAACCCTGACTAATTTCAATTGTTAGCTCAGAGTATCCCTAAGTTAATACGGAAGGGAGAAGAAAATTCGTTATAAAATATTTTTGCAACTGTTGCATTCAATTTATTGCTATTACTTTATGTATACATATTTCCCGCATGACGAATTTTCCAATTAAAAAATGCGAGTCATTTGATATTGGGAGCATATTACAAATGGAAGGCATGAATTTTCTGCCCAATTTTGAGATGAACCCTTCCTTGGGAAATCCATCCGCATTACAATTTTTCAGCAGCCACTGAAACTTCAGTTTGAACGGTAATAGGTGAATCGTCTATTATTCAGTCGTTGCAGAGGTCGGTAATTTTGGCGACTGCCGTGACGTAGCCTGACTTGTCGGATGTTCTGCAGCTGTTGAAGGAAAAAATGCAGTGCAAGCATGCAATAATTTACAGATATGCTATTTTCATTGATTTCTCATAAATTCGATTCATTTTAAAAGTATACCTCATTGTTAGTTATGGAGAACGCATCCAGTGCCACAAACCACGTGACTGCCTCATTACATCCAGGAGTAGTTAACGATCCGAAATAGCTTGCGTACCTATTCCTGGAAATCGCAACTCCTAAATAGGATAGGGGGAATGGTCTCACTTGCACTGCGGCATTCTCCTGTCGGAGATTTTGAAGCTGTCTCCAAATTTGCTGTACTCCGTATGATGATCTACCGGTACGAGGCTGAAATTCAAATCTCTGATTGTGACTGAGCAGGTAAAGGTTGCTGGAACCATAAAGCATAAAGTGTATTGCCGAATTCAATTACGCCACAGAAATTAATGGAATTGAATACACCCAAAAAAACATGCTTTATTTTGAGGCTCATGATTTCTTATTGAGATCTTTGAAAGTCTCTACTTGAGATTTTTTAATGTCTCAAATTAAGACTTTTAAATCTCGCAGATTGAGACTTAAAATTTTCAAATTGAAACTTTAAAACTCCACAGGGATGGCCATCAATCTTTCGATTCTTCAATATTAAATTAATTTCCGACTCACATTGATTAAGGTTTAAATATACCAATCGAAATTAAAAATAATAAAATAATTAATAATCTAAATTTCCAATTGATGATGAGTTAAATATTTAATAATATGGAACTGTAAATTTTCCATTAAGTAAATAATACTAAATTTCTTATAAAGAATTTTCGATTATCCCAATGATGGTCAGTCTTCCTAACTAAATTACTAATTAATAAATAATTCGGAATTTGAATATATTCTACTAAGAATGTATTCAAATTCAAAATTCTATTCTGTAAAGAGTAATATTAACGAATGGACTACTTAATGATTTAAAGGTAATAATAATTTATAGATATGGCTATCTTTGAAACTCAACTTGAAGAAAAATTTCAAGTTTAGCAGGAAAAGTCTTAGGTTGAGGCATTCAAAAGTCTCAATTAAGTCTGTGAAAGTCCCAAATTAAGATCATCCAAAAACTCAACTGTAGAATTTCAGAAGGCTTAAATTGAGATCTCCAAGTCTCACATTGAGACTTATGAAACGCTCAACTTAAGCTGTTCAGGCTTCAAATGAAGACTTTTTACAATCTTACTTTGAAACCTTCAAATTCTTAAAATAATATATTACTTTTTTCAGTCTAGGGATCGACTCCTTCAAACCTGAAGTCGTGAAGGGCGCAGTCAGTACAGGATTAATTACAGTAGAGTTCTAATTGGAGTAAATGTGGTACTACGCAATGCAAATATTTCCCAGAATTCAGTAGCGAAGTGGTAAAAGGAGATAAGTCAATTTTGACTATTGACCAGTTTTAAATCAATATCTCGAAGTCTAAGAGAGATAACAAAATTTTTTAATTTTTTAATTTAATTCAATTATGGAAATTTCGGTATCTCCCTTAGATTCGGAAATATTCCTCAAAAACTCAACTGGGAGATAAGTCGACTTATCTCTATTTACCACTTCACTACTGAATTCTAATCAAGTTACAAATAGACTCCATAATTGCAGCAACATTGAATTGCTTCAATCGAGAAAGTATTGTAAGGTAAGAATATGTGATAAAAATCATACCTGATAAAGAGCTGCAATCACAGCAAGTCCATCTGCTCGCCTCGAAGCTGCTGCAAACGACCCATATTCGCGTTTCCAATGAACTATATGGAGCTCCATTGCAGCTCTGTGTGCATTTAGAGGTGGGTCGAGAGTAGAATAAGTGGACAATGCATTATTTATACCGGAAGATAACTATTGCTGCTACGGAATTCACAATATGTGAGTAGACTGAACTTCAGTTTCATAACATCAACCCCATAAACTTTAAGGCTTAAATAATAGAGATTTTTCTCAAAGAGAGAATTTAAAAAAAAATTGACAACACATGGACACGTTCTATAATAAATGTAGAATATTCTGACTTTTCAGAACTTTTTTAGTTATTCTAACGAAAGAAAAATAGAAAACTTAAATTCTGACAAAAATAATATACTTCCATTCGTCCTATTACTCTATTTTGTAACTCGGTAACAAATGATTTTAGTCTCATTGAATCAGTGTTAATAATGATTCTTTGAGTGATCATTGAAAATCGATTCTTGATGAACTATCAATCATTCTGAAACTTCACGATAAACATAATTTAAATGTAATTTTTAAAGAAAATTTTCAAACAACCATATACCCACAAGACTATACACGTACGTACTGACAATATTAAAAAATTGCATAGTTGGACCTTTCCGGCCAAATTCTGTTTTCCTAATACAAAATTGGAAATTTAAGGTACTTCCACAGACACAGAGAAAAAACGGATAAAAATTATCTAGAATATCGCAGCAAATTTTACTATACACTAATAAAAAAGATGGCAAAATTTAGTTTTTGTTAACGAGGCTTCTTAACTATTAATGTTCTTCGTTAACTATGAATTTCATTCATTAACTATTCACGTTAAGAAGCCTCGTTAACAGCAACTAAATCGTTCTATCAGTGTACGAAAGGTAATCGGGGAGAGGAATTGTAATTCAGTAGAAAATACTTTTTGTGAAGGATATCTTGCGATTCGTTTGGGAACAAAAAACACATCTATGGATGCAAAAATCACTATTCCCTGCACATTAAAATTTCCTGTACCGGTAGGATATTTTTTTCTAGCTCCCATGTAAAGGCCGAAAGTAAAATTTCACTTGTGAACTAGTGTGAACTATTATACAATATTGGACAATTATTTACATTCATGGGATAATTTTTGACGAGATAAATCGTAAATTTTACACTTTCGGCACAAATTACTCTCACATTTTGTAAATTTTCCGGAGTCAACGGGGAAAAATTCACTATTCGTCTCCCACTTTTTGCCTCGATTATATAGTAAGACCCAGACTTGCATTCCGTTTCATGATTAATTGACTTGTTTGATAATTTTTCTCTAACTTTTTTTTCCGTGCAGTCATTGATAGTGATGCCACGAGACGGGACGAGACGAGAAATGGCATTTTCTCCTCTTGTCTCGTCTCAACACACGAGAGATATTTCTTCTCGTCTCGTCAAGAGTCCCAGGATTCTCTCGCAGTCTTTCGTCTCGTCTCGTCTCTATTCGTCTTATCTCGTTTCGTCCCACATGGGAAAAATAACGGTCAGAAGAAATAACGGTTAGAAAATATAAGCGTCAAAGAAAATAAGGGTCAAAAAAATAAACGTTAGAAATTATAAGGATCTCATGTCTCGTCTCGTTTCCCTCGTTCCCTCGACCAACTTTTCTTGACTGCTCATTTCTATCTCGAAACTGTCTCCTGTCATCTTGGAATGCTTCTCGTCTCGTTTCTCTCGTCTTTCGCGGCATCACTGGTCACTTATAGATGATGAAAACTTTTACCCAAAATTCGGATCATATGTTGTTAGGCACGTTAAAAGTTCATGACCAAAATTTCAATTATTTTGGTTTCTTATGTATATGTTCTATAGAACATTGCGAAATATTCGCCACGGTTTCCCTGAGAAAGTACCTTAAATTTTAACGATTATGATGTTTCCATTCGGAAGAAAAAGAATTGCTGTATAAAATAGATTGTGTGGTTAATAATTCACCGTCTGCCTCTGAATGTATGCTCACTTCCGACGTTGTTACTCTGACCCCAGTGAAAATGAAATTGTTCGATGACATATTGCCCGCGCAAAGGTCCTCCACTCAAGTATGGTCTATAGGCATTATTTGTCCACGTAGGACGTATTTCAACTAAAATTAAGAACAATAATAATTCTTGGTTCAAATGCTACCTATATATGGTATGCTTCCTACTTGTATGTCCAGTGTTTGTTATTCTCATAGAATTCGGAACATTCCTATAGTTATTCCATCTGAGCTCTCCGGGCCGCACAATCACAGACTCCCCGTACCTCCATGGAATATCAACAGGCGATTGATTATTACCATTGCACATTGGATACTGCCGTCCCCATGTCGCAGGATTCCGGTACGAAAAATCTTAATTTTTCGACACATTTTTGAATAAAGAGGATATTTTAATTAAAATTACTGTTCCTTACATTTATAATAATTTATAGAGTTTGAAAGCATGATGATATGGAAGGTTTTAAGTTGTGTCATCGGAAATATAGGGGAAATTTCACAGTTAGGAAAAGCGCAACCGATTGTAGCTCAGTAGTTTCCATTTCATGGACAGACCAGTTGTGATTTTTAGGAGATCGTCACTGAATTCGATTCAGAAGGGCAAAAATCATAAAATTTCAGATTTCACAGAAAATTCAATGCAATTACCAATTTTTGAGCAGTAATAAGCGAGAATGCTCCAACTTACTTTAATTTTCAATCAAAACATGAATACTTAAAATTCAAGAACTTATTTAGTGGAATTTCCCTGATTTTTTATTTTTATTTTAAATTTCAGGTAATAATTGAATTGAAATTGACAGCCCGAGTCAAAATTTTACCGGGTCTCCCGACGTAGTTTCAAAGTTTTGAACCTACATTGCTTTGATGTTCAAATTCTCCGCCAAATTTTCACCGTACCTTCAACTTATCTCAACGTGAAGGTCCATGGACATTGAAAAACACTCAATATCCACCGTATATTAAACGTACTCTCAACGTTAATGACGTTTGTTTTCTGTTAACATACGTTGTAAGTTTCGACGTCCACATTTGATTGTATCCAGGTCATTATTGACGATAATTAAAAAATTCATCAGCGTGTTAAACACTCACGTAACTAAATTATTAGTGTTAGTACATTAATAATATTAGTTCGAAGTTCAAACAATCGTGCGTCTAAAGGGTGAGTTGGGTCCAAGGGTCAGAAGGGTTAGTTGAGTATAAGGATCAATTGAGTATAAGGGTGAGTTGAGTCCAAAAGATTACGCGAATCTAAGGGTCAGATAAATGAAAGCCTCAGTTGAGATTCAATATCAGTTGAGTTTAAAGGTGAGTTAAGCCTAAGGGTCAAAAGACTACAAAGGGTCAGGCGAATCCAAGGGTCTGTTTTGTAAGGGTCAGATAATTAAAAATCTCAGTTGAGTTCAACTGTCAGTTGAATTTAAAGGCCAGTTATGTGTAATGGTCAGTTGACTGTATGGGTCAGATGAGTGCGAAGGCTCTATTGGGCCTGAGAGTCAGATGAGTCTAAGACGAGGATAAGGGTCAAATGAGGCTCAGGGTCAGATCGATTCTGAGGGTCAGGTGAGCCAAAGGTCATCTTTTAGGATTTGTGGCGGTTGTAGGGAGAAACAAATCACTACAAGGCGATAAACGATATAATACAGTCATTCGCCGAAGCGAATAGTCTGAACTATGCACAAAAGAAAGTATTTAAATTTTGATTGTGCATGGTGAGACGGTCACCGATAAACTGAATGCAAGGGGCGTGATTCTCTATTGTCCAGAGGTGCGAAAAGTATCCTCTGGATGACCGCGAATGTGTGTGTGTGTGTGTGTAGCGACAAGCTATTGTGCTCCTGTGGGTGACGTCAGACAGTCGTGCCTCAGGTGGTATGTAGCGAGCCGCTACATGTCTCTCCTGCTCGAAGAAAAACGCAGTTTTTGACTGTAACATGAGGCAGATAAATTAAAATTGTTCAGCGGTGGGTTCTAGTAAAGTTGCTCTACTGTCCCCTGTGCGCTGCTGCGCCCGAGTTAGGTGGTTGCTCAGGATCGAATGTACGTGTCTCCGACCGTTCGTTGAAAACGACTCTCCTGCGTTGTCTGGGGGCTCCTGTAGTCGCGGCTAAACTGGTGCTCTGTGTTGCTTATTGTTGTTGTTCTCTTTGTTGTTGTTGTCGTCGTCACGGGCAGGCTTCCGCAGGAAGCTGCTAGACCTGTTGCATATCCTCGACAAGGATGAATGCGGGTTTGAGGCGGTCGATAGAGATAGGTACGTCCTGGAGATAGTTTCCTCTCCCCAGTGACCTACAGTGGACGACGAAGTGTCATGCCTGCGGACGACGCGGTATGGCCCAGAATATGGAGCAGCGATGTTCGTCCTCCAGTATCTGTCCGGATAAATACGTGTGTGCAGTCAGCGAGACTTTTGTGAACGAATGTTGGCTTGGTTCCATGGCGAGACATTCCGGTGGGTGTTATAGCCGCGAAGTATCTACATAGATCTCGTAAAATTTCAGGAGCTCCACGTTCGTTGGTAGGTGTGAATAATTCACCTGGGAGTCGAATTCTCTCCCCGTAGGTGAGTTCAGCTGGAGTGCTGCCGACGTCAGACTTCCAAGCGGTGCGAAGTCCCAATAAAACCAGCGGTAGGATATCGTACCAGCTGGCATCGTGGCAGCGCAATGCGGCCTTCAGCTGGCGGTGGAGCCTTTCCACGAGCCCGTTAGCCTGAGGGTGAATGGGCGTGGTGAGTTTTCGTTGAATCCCCAGCATCTCAGTGACGCGCCGATAAATATCCGCTATAAACTGGCCGCCTCTGTCCGATGAGATTCTGAGAGGTACTCCAAACCTCGCGATCCAGTGGTATAGGAGATCATCGTGGCAGCGCAGTGCGGCCTTCAGCTGGCGGTGGAGCCTTTCCACGAGCCCGTTCGCCTGAGGGTGAACTGGCGTGGTGAGTTTTCGTTGAATTCCCAGCATCTCAGTGACGCGCCGATAAATATCCGCTATAAACTGGCCGCCTCTGTCCGATGTGATTCTGAGAGGTACTCCAAACCTCGCGATCCAGTGGTATAGGAGGGCATGAACGACTGTCTCTGTCCTGATGTCTGGCAGCGGTACCACCTCCGGGTAGCGAGTGAATCTGTCGATGATCGTGAGGCAGTTCTTGAATCCTCTTGACTGCGGTAACATGACCAAATCCACGTGGATGTTCTCGAATCGTTGCGACGGTAGTGCGAACTCGACGAGGGGTGCAGCGACGTGTCGAGAAACCTTGTTTTTCTGACACGGCAAACAGTGACGTGTCCACTCCAAACAGTCTTTATTCATTCCAGGCCACATGAAACGATCGGCAATAATCTTGCGAGTTCCTTTTCCTCCGGGGTGTGCGAGTGAATGCATTGAGAGAAAAAATTGTCTTCTCAGTGGCTCCGGCACATATGGACGAATCGTACCCGACGCCGAAACGTCGCAATACAATCTGTCGTCCGATCCCGGGAAGCGTAGGAGCTGTAGATTGAGGCTGCTGTCGTTCTTTTGGAGGATTTGTCGAAGTTCTGGATCCTCTCGTTGCGACTGAGCAAGCTGCTGATTGTTGATCGCTTCGGTCACCGCCTCGATGCGAGACAAGGCGTCTGCCACGACGTTATCAGCGACAGCCACGTATCTGATGTCTGACGTGAACTGACCGATGAAATCTAGCCTCCGACATTGCCAGGGGGTTGTCTTTTCCGGTTTCTGATGGAATGCGTGCGTTAAGGGTTTGTGATCCGTATAGATCGTGATGTTTCCCCTCGAAGATATGCCGGAAATGAATTATCGCCTCGTAGATCGCCTCGAGCTCCCGGTCGTAGGTGGCGTGATGACGGTCTGAGAGTTTGAGCTTTCTGCTGAAGAAGGCGAGTGGCTGCGACCCATCCGGGTGTCTCTGCTGGAGAACGGCGCCTACTGCGTGGTCCGATGCGTCGGTAAAAACTGCCTACTCCCCGTTGACATTAGGGTGTGACAGGTGAGTGGCCTCTGCGAGAGCCCGTTTGCATGCGGAGGAAGCAGTATCCATTTCCGGTGTCCACTCCACAGCATGTTTCCCTTTTACAGCTGGCCCTCGGTGTACTGCGTTAAGAGGAGCGAGAATTTGTGCAGCTCCTTTGATGAATTTCCTGTAAAAATTGAGGGCACCTAGGAATCTGCGAAGGGATTTGACGTTGGCAGGTTTAGGATATTCAAGGATCGCGCTTACCCGGTCCCGAGGGGGCTTGATCCCCTGGGAATTGATGGTCCAAGGAAGACCACTTCGGGTTTGCCAAGGACAGACTTGGCGACGTTTATCACTAGGCCGAAGCTCTCCAGACGTTGAAACAGCTGTCTCAGATGGTCTAGGTGTTGCTCGGGTGCCTCAGAGGCGACGAGGATGTCGTTGATATATGGGAAAAGAAACAGCAGGTCTCTTGTGACCTCGTCGATCAACCGTTGAAACATTTGAGCGGCATTGCGCAGGCCGAAGGTCATAAACGGAAACTCGAATAACCCGAATGGGGTTATTATTGCTGTCTTCTGAATATCGTCGGACGCCACAGGTATCTGGTGAAACGCTTTGAGGAAGTTGACAGTCGAGAAGATCGTGGTCCCATGAAGATTGGCAGCGAAGTCGTCGAGATAACGCACTGGGTACTTGTCAGGGATTATCCGATCGTTCAGGGCTCGATAATCACCACACGGCCTCATTTCTCCGTTCCTTTTAGGAGCCAAATGGAGAGGTGAAGACCATGGTCCTTGGCCACGTCTAGCGATGCCGAGCTTCTGCATATTTGAAAACTCGGTTTTAGCTATCTTGAATTAGTCCGGTAATAGACCTCTCAGTCTGGCTGATACCGGTGGGCCGGGAGTAGTCCTGATGTAGTGTAGCGTCGAGTGCTTGATGTTTCGAAGGAGTCCCTCCGGTTTTGTGATGGACGGGAACTTCTTGAGAAGAGCCACGTAGGGCGAGTCTACCTCTATTGTCTGAAGTTTGACTGAGAATGACTCAAGTTTGACCAGCTGTCCATTGGAAGTGAGACCAGTGGTTCCATCAATAAGTCTTTGGTTCCTGACGTCAGGTAGCAGACCGTAATGGTGGAGCAGATCAGCGCCGATGATGGGTCTTGATACATCAGCCTCGACGAAACGCCATTTGATGTCTCTGCGCAGGCCGAGGTCAAGCAGGATCGGTGTGTAGCCATAGGTGTTGATCAAGATGTTGGCTGCAAAAAGCTGATAACCGGTCGCGTCCTTATTGTGAGAGTGACGTCGTCGTAGGCACACGGAGACGTCGGAGCCGGTATCCACTAGGTACTGCTCCTTGGTGGAATCATCGGTAACAAAGAGGC